CCCAAAAAATCTGGCCCCAGATGTCAGTAGTGCTGATGAGCCTGAGGAAACAAACACTTTTCAGGATGCGTGATCTTGTAGCTGACACAAGTTCATCATGGAAATAAGTGAGTTGTAAGGAAATAAGCAGTTAAGAGTGCAGTGTATTCTGAGTTATTCAGTAATTTATTTTTATTTTTTATACTTGCAAAAGCCAATAGATTGTGGTTCCTAGAGGTCATTAAAACTCATATCCACCTAAGTGAGAACAAAATAAGTCTTTTATTTATGTTTGTTTGAATGTTTTGGGGTGTATAAAGTACATTTTTTTTCTTAAAGTAAATCACCTTATACACTTCTATGAATTTCTTATCACTAGATACAGTGATTTAAAAATAATCATTGTATGTTAGTATCACATGATAATATATACATATATCTAATAGAATAGCATTAGAATAAAAAACTAAACAGTATTATAAGCCATAAGAAAGCATCTTAGCTGGGAAAAAAAAATGGTGAGAATTTTTCAATAGACAGTTACCAAATTTCCTAGCTAATTCCTGACTGAGATCTGAGCAGTGACTGTCTCCAGAAAGTGCTTCAAAAACATTTGCATACCTCAGCTGTCCCAAAGGAAATATTGGCTTTAACAAGTGACAGGAATGGTTCTAGTTTGAAGAGCCTCATGAGGAACCAGTGTTGCCAGGAAAGCTGTAAAAGACTTCTAAATTGGTGCCCCCTACATTCCTTGCCCCTTGATTTCCAGAGTGTGCTCAGATGCCCTGGTGATCAGAATCCTCCTGGCAGTCATAGCCGGGTTGTAGGCCTCTGTAGACCATGACTGCACACATTCCAAGACTCCTTTAGTTTAGGTGGGAGAAGTAAAATTAAAAATGGAAAATCAGAATATGTTTTTTCGCTTTACAAAGTTCATCCAACTGAGTCAGTAGTTACTATTTTAGCTAGGAAATCGTTTTCTCAGTTCTCTAAATTGCCACCTGTAGCTTCATTCAGTTTTACTCTTGTTCTGGCTTATTGCACCATATTCTGTAATTTCTCTTTTACTGAATATATCACATACACACAATTTTATATAAATTACCATATATACACATATTTACAATTTTTCAAAAATATGCTTTATTAATTCATTTTGAGGATTGATTAATCTAAACATATATCTTCCCTTATTTATGATTACAAATGATAACCTTCAGTTCATAGTTGAACAATATTTAATGTCAGAAATCAAGGGTTTGATCTTTCAAATCACTGTTATTAGACTCATGCAGACTTTATGACTACAGCAGGAAATCTCACCTTTTTGGACAGGTTAATTTTACTTTAAAGATGTAGAAAAATATTAGAAAAAGTAGACTCGGTGAGTATTAGACTCAGTGTGTGCATCAGTTCAGAATACATAGTATGTGTGCTACAGTGGTGTCTTTGGAATCTCTCGTGGTCCTCCTCTAAGCAGGTCCCTGAGTGCTGCCTAAGGAATCGTGGGCATGGGCATTCCAGAGGGCCTGCTGGGCAGTTGTACAGCTCTCTGACAATAAGACCGCAATGCAGTCAACACAACCAAAGCACAGAAATACAACACTGTGAGAAATGTACTAGAATGACATTTTCCTCGGTGGATGTGTCAAATACAGAATGATGATTAAGGACCAACTTTGTATTACATTATTGATGATTGACATGCATTGTTACTGGATGTCACTACCTGTGTTATTTTTAGTGCCTTTAACAGATATGGTGCTAAGCTGAGCAACTGCTGCTTGTTCTTGTGCATGTAAGGAAAGAGGAAAATAACGAGCAGTTATTGACTGTTATGCCTGTGCCCCTTGCCCTTGCTCAAACTCACATGTCACCAGTGCGAAGGATGCAGTCATCACTGTTCTACAGAAAAGGTGTGGCCACACCAAGAACCTCACTCCCCCTACATGGGGCCACACAGCAAGTAACAAGGTTGCTGTTTGAGCCAGGCTTTATACAGTTATGCAGTGGGTGCCACTACAGGCACCTCTGAAAAAAGAATGAAAACTTTTTCTATTTTTAACTTAATGCTAGCAGCCCAGTTTAATGTACGTGAAGGTGAAATCTCTGGATGGTTTAGTGTAACAGCTTCTATATGAAAATTTGAATACATGAAGTCTAGACAGTTAATTTGTTTTTTACTCTCAGAATCTATTGTCAGTGTATCGATCTTAAGATGCCACAAGCAAAGCACAGGTGCACGCAGGTCTCCTTCCTCCCGGCTGCACTACAAATCTCCTTCTCTCACCCTTTCTTTCTTTATTGTGGCAAGCTTTATTTTTCATTTAAATGCCTGGTTTCTGAATAAAGCATCATTAGTCATAATCCAGAACCAGGATTTGATATTAAATTTAGTTTGTGTTCTATTTTAACAGATAGTAGATTGTATGTTAATTATAGAATAATATCTTAACAGAGGTCTCTGTTACAGAGTTAAACAGGATCCATCTTTGAGCATCTAATAAGAAATAGATATGCATCCATTCTGCAGATGCTTATGGAGACATGGTGCTGGGAACTCAGCAATGTGTGTGGACCCTCCGGGTTCCAAGGTGTGCTGGTGGTGGCCATCTCTGGATTTAAGCAGTCCTCTAACACAAGGATGTTTATTCGAATGCATTCTCAACCTTTCTATTTGTGAAACCAAAATTATTCAGCAGCGCAATCAGCATTAAACCAGTGTTGAAGTTCCTAAGAAGCAGTTTATCCACTATTGCTAACAAAGGTTACTATGTGACTTTTTTCCATGTTGTCAATAAGTGTGGCGATGCACCGTCCTGTTTTGCAGTGTTTTCCCTGTACCAGAATCACCTGTAATGCTTGCTCAAATGCAGATCCCTGGGCCTGTAGACCTGTGGCCATGGATGGGGAGAGGTTGAGCAATCTGCACACATTTTTACCAAATTGGCTTTGTTGATTTTTACGACAAGGTTTTTTGAAAGTGAGCCCTAATGTAGTAACATCCAGCTGGGCAGCATAAGGAAGAAATGTAGTCAAATGGTACTTTTTCTGCCCTCAGTAGATATAGTAAATACACAGCAAAGCCAGAGATGTGAGCTTCTGTCAGAAACCCTGAGATGCACTAGTACAGGATACCTGGCAAACACTCCTGATTCCTTTCCATGATTCCCCTCCAGGTGGTGTCCAGGTGGGAGGGGCTGGGTGGTCTGTGTTGAAGGAAGGTGCTAGAGTGAATTGCTTTGGACAACCACTCTTAGTTCTGGCAAGGCCTGGCTTAAGGCCCAGGGCCGTCGCTTACTATTTATGGAACTCCAGAAACTGACCCAGTGAATTCAGTTTAATCCTTTTGGTGGATATAAGCCTGCTTATCTGCACTCACATAAATCCAGTTCAGTGAGACGTATGATGTGGAGATACTGAGGACCAGAGTTTGTTCTTTGTGCTGAAATGGCAGGTTTCCCCTGGGAGGCCTTGACCGGGGATCCCTGAAATTGGACCGTGTGTCATTCATGAGCGTGTTTGTTTTGGCCAGCCTTGCCCTGTGGTTTATCTTGTGATTCTAAGTTATTTTGTGGTTGCTTTGCACTGAGGTGCTTGTAAGCTTGTAATAATGTGCCTGTGAGCTCAACGTATAACAAGCATGGGCATTGTACATGGAAAAAGTCATATTTATGTAAACATTGGTTTATTTGTGATCATATCAGGAGAGGCTATAAATATTACCTTCCTGCCAACCTTTTTTGTTTGTTTGATATGTGGTCGAAGTTGCAGCAGGAGTGAGATAGATTCTGCAGCAGCTCCTGGTTACAAAGCCTGGGGTTTAAAGTGGTCAGCGTCTTACAATGTCCGCACAGCTTCTGGGCAAAAGCTGGGCATCTGTCTCAGGTCCTGAGATCCTTGCTCTCCACCCTGTCCTCTACCCCTCCTGATTTCAAGTGTGCCATAAAGCTCGTTAGAACATAGTCTCCCATGACATTAATCCTGCACGGATACTTTTTTTAAAAAAAGCAGCAACAGTATTCATATAGAAGTGTGACGAGTTCGATCATACACGTGAACATTCGTTTTCTAAGTTGCTTTACAATATAATGACTAATTAAGATAAATTGATTTGTTGAAAAATCGAAGAAAGCTCCACAAGTTGGTTAATTGCTTAATATATTTTTTTGTGCAGAGTTCTAATTAGATTTATTGGTAAAAGAAGTTGATGAGGTCTGTTATTATCCATATGACTTGACAGTGTCTTGAAAGAAGTCACTGTAACACACTTGATGTTGCATGTTATACAGCTAATATTTTAATGAAAAATAATTCCAAAGGAAAAGTCTACTTATATTTCTTATTTTATAGTAAATTATTTCTTTCTTCGTTGTCATGATCAGTTATTCAGAGGGCACATATTCTTCTTAGTGCTTTAATAGTTTTTATTGGTGGGGACTAGATTTATCTTTGAAAGGTTAAAAACTACATTTTGTACTAGTGTTTCCCTACACCTCATTCCCTCTGGGCACTGGGAACACATGGGAATTTTCATCTGTAAACTTCCTCATGCCTGGCTTAGTAGGACTCGGTGGTGTTGGAGGTAATGGTAAAGGATGAGGATGCAGTCTGCCTAAGCACATTTCTTAAAAATGCAATAAGTAAAAGTAGGTGATAAAACTCCAGATTCGTTCAGATTTATTGAAGTGAACCAAGAAGATATTATGGCAGGAGCTAATGTACTTTATTTGACAGTCTGTGTTTTAATATTATTACCTTGGAAGTTTGTTTTTAAACTTGAATCTATAAACATTTACACTAAAATTATTAAAATAAGGGAAATTTTTTAAGTGTTTGAACTTCTTCAAATGTCTTACTCTTTTGTTTGGGTGAAGTTGTTATGAACCCTGAAGTTGCAGCAAAAGGATGGGACTTGGTGGAGAAAACCTTGGTGGATTCAGGGCTTGATTTACATGGTTATTGCTGTTTACAGTTCACTGATTCTTTCTTAAGATGGAATTTTGCTTTTGTCTTTGTAGGGTCGTTGCTCCAGGGAGAACTGCAAGTATCTTCACCCACCCCCACACTTAAAAACACAGTTGGAGATCAATGGGCGCAATAACTTGATTCAGCAGAAGAACATGGCCATGCTGGCCCAGCAGATGCAACTAGCCAACGCCATGATGCCCGGCACCCCGCTGCAGCCCGTGGTAAGCCCTCCAGCCTGCTCTCCAGCTGTAGGCGCAGCTCTTAGCTTAGGGAGAAGGGGCTGCAGTAGATGGTCTGAACACAGGTTAGTTATCAGCTGCTGGTATTTTCTAGTGAATAAGTATCAGTTATTCCTGGATCAGTTTTCACACTATAAACCCAGGGGCACTTGACCACTGAGCATAGCTCCAGCCCTTTTAACATTTTATTTAGACAGTAAGTTGCTTAGGGCCTCGCTGAATTGCTGAGGCTGACTTTGAACTTGTGATCCTCCTGCCTCCACCTCCCGAGTTGCTGGGATGACAGGCATGTGCCACCTAGCATTGTAGGTCTCTTTCTTTGAAAACTTAAATTGAAGTGATTTCATAGTCACAAATGCTAGGCAGCTTCTGACTAGTGGTGATCATCATACTGGATTTGGAAGCCTTATCAAAGGAGACAGAAACTCCAAGGGCTGTTAAAAAAGAATGAAATTGATAAACCTTGGGTGTCCCTAGATGTTCAGTGTCTATCAAGTAGTAGATGTGTGCAATCCTGCTTCTGAACACACATATATATATCTATTAAACCATTTGGATTTTTATGATTATGTGGGTGATAAGTGTCTCTAATAATCTTCTTTACATCATAATTGATATTAGGTTGATAAGCTATTTTATGTTAATTGTGATATAGTAGTTTTATTTTTAAATATATGATGAAATCTATAGTGATCAGGGAAAATATATATATATTCTATTGCATCTAAATTATGACCTAAATTATTGCATCTTAATTATTATGGGGTCATAGGAATGTAAAGACCCCCATTTTTCTGGCATCTTTATCGGAAAACTGCTAACTATTTTTTTTCCAGATGCATTATTATAATACCTGAACTCAATGTAACTGGTATTCTCTCTTAGAGCTTAAAGCAACAGTTATTCCAAAAAAGAGGAGGTGGTCTATTTGAGGTGGGAGGGACCTCCATATTACATGTTCAATGATACGGTTGTCAGTACTATACAGTTGAGGTGAGAGAATTATTGTAATTATTTCTGTATCTGTCTTAACCTGATCTATTTTTTTCTCATTATTGGGGACTCAGTTAAAAATGTAGTATCTTTTTTTTAATATTTATTTTTTAGTTGTAGTTGGACACAATACCTTTATTTTATTTATTTTTACGTGGCGCTGAGGATCGAACCCAGGGCCCCGCACATGCGAGGTGAGTGCTCTACTGCTGAGCCACAACCCCAGCACCAAAAAAATGTAGTATCTTAAGTTTATTTTTTGTGACATCTGCTAATTTTTCATGTCTGAATTGGGATAGCAGGAAGATTGCTATTTGGTTAAAAGTTTATTATCATTCTTTCTAACAAAACAATATAGGGCAAAAATCTCTCTTTCCCTTGGCCCTCAGATTCAGTTTCAAAGATCTGGATGGCTCCTACTTTAGTTGATATAAGATCTCTCCTTGACGTGAGACACTTGGTTTCAGTTAAACATTTAAAGTGTACTTACTGCCAGGTTTGGCCTCTCTCCACCCAGGAAGCCCCTTAGATCAGCAGGCGAGGTTCCCTAATTGAGGAAGACCGGAGAGTCACAGCCTTGAGTTCCTCAGTGTGAAGTTGGGCCCATCTCCTGACCCAGCCCTTGAGTTCTGACTCTCAAGGTCATTCCAGGGTTATCACACACACAAGATCCTAGTGCAAATTATAAATGACGTTCTGCTCTTGAAATGCTAGTAACACATGTGTTGTTTATAAAACCGCTCAGTCACAGATTTCAGAAACCATCTGAACACTCGCCCCATTTTTTGCTGCTTTTGTAAGAAAATTCTCTGCTTTGATGATGTCATTGCTGTGTTAGTCTGGAGCACATTCCGGCTCTGTGTTAATTTCCCCTCATGTGACCACTTGAATGTGGAGTTACCCCTCTGCTAAAGGCATCCTTGGATCAGAGCCTTAAAGTATTCTGCATACAGATTGAGATTTTCGTAGTAAGTATAGGAATCATTTTAATTTTTCAATTTTGAAGCATTTGGGGTTTTAGTGGCTTCAGAGAAACCTTCAGTCCAGGAAAGTTTCTCTCAGAACTCCACCTGAGACTGTTCTTTTGTTTTTGAGGCCAGCCCTGTGATGATGAGGATGATGAGAGGCAGGCTCAGGAATGAAAGGGATGGTTGTGAGCAGCTGCGGGCTGGGACTTAATGTGGCCCAGGAATAGGGACTCCAGCAGAGCCGGGAGCCGCCTGCTGGCCACATGAGAAGGGCTGACACTCAAGGGAGCTGCCCTGGTCAGGTGGAGTCTTGAAGACGTGGCTGTAACTTGGACCCAACCAGGAGGTAGCCTTGTGAAGAAGATCCACCTCATGGGGCACCTGCCAGCAGTGACAGGTTTTTTGACAAGGTTTTTAGACAGGTCATTGACAGTGCCTTGGCTCTCTAGGGCCAGACAGGTTAGCTGGAGGAGCAGGAAGGAGCAGGGCTGGGGTGCACGGTCTAAAGTAAAATTCTCAAGCAGCTGTAATGGTGGCTGGCACCTTGTGGAGTCAGATCAATAATCACTTGACGAACAAAAGGGCAGGTTGAGGAAGGAGTACCACCGACACCAGAAATCATGGACAGAGATTCCTGGCAGTTCTCCTGCCCGGGAGACCAGAGGAGCCTAAGTTGCCACCAGAGCAGCAGCCCCGTCACGGAGGCCCCCACAGACCAGGTGGAGTGGCTGCTCACCCCGTGTGGGAGCCTGAGAAACTGGCGCTGTCCGTTTTCAGAGCCTGGCCTGGACTAACTCAGTTAGACAGGGATCTGTAGAACAGGGTCCTGCCTTCATAGCCTTTATTAGGTTGAAGAAATGCACCACACCGAGAATCAGAGAGAGGACTGGCATTTTTGAGACAATACTTGAGGGGCATTCACTGTACTCAGCACTTTTTGTATATTACATTCTATCTTCAATCTTATGAAACAGGTCATATTACCTCAGCGTTAGAGATAAAGAACCAAAAGTTCAGAGAGGTTAAGTAATTTGCTTCAGCTACACAGCTAGTGAGTAAAAAGTTTCAGACATTAATCCAGCCTGTTTGGGCTCCGGTGTCTGTGTGGGGAACTGCGTATTGGGGACAGGTGGCCAAACATCTCTGGGTCCTGGGCAACTCATTTAAGCTCTCTGACCTTTTCCCAAATAGAGTGAAAAATTTGAAATCTATTACCTCTAAGGTCCTGGCACTCTCAGACCTCAAACACAGTTATTCCCATTTCATAAGATGAGGAATAAAGTAGTTGAAAATGACCAGTAGAATTTATCTGTCTACTTCCTAAAAGTTAATAATGAATTATAGAAGTATTGGCGTTAATTCTGTTGGCATTCGTAAATTCTTAATAAAAATGTAAAAGTTCACTTCTTTTTCTTTTTATCCTATAATCTTTGAAAATAAATAGAAGACCTCTAACATTTAGTTATCAAATAAAAAATAATGAAATTTCTGCTTTCTCAGTGTTCCTTTTTTCTAGTATGACTTTGCTGCACACTGTCAGGTGCAAAGTAATCAAATGAGAAACTGCAGCATGGTTTGGCCACCAGCCTGCACTGTGGCTCACACCCTGGAGAGCCTGGGTCCCCCCGCCCAGCCAGAGGGCCTCAGGAGAGGTGCAGCTCCTACTAGGCTCTCTGCGTGGCCCTCAAGAGGTCTGTGGAAGCCTTCACAGTGAGGAGCTCACTGTTAGCAGCCTCTGCCCTTATTGGGCACCCAGAGCTTAGCTGTGGCCCCTGTAATTCTGCTGGCAGCTGTCCCCAAGTGCAGAGACCTGGCTTCCTTGAGACACGGAACTCATGTAGAAGTCCCTATGCGTGTCATGAAGTTGAGATGCTTCGGGGATAGACTCCCAGTCACCGGCTTTAGCTTCAGTTTCAGGAGCGTCTTTGGCTCCTGTCACCTCGACTCTGCCATTGCTGGCATTTGCAGAGCGCTTTGAAGTGGGCCATTTGTCACATCTGCAGGAACTTTCAGAGTTCTTGAACTATTTTTTCCTGCTTTACTCTCCAGCTGGTGCTCCAGGGGTTGAGAGGAAGCCTCTTTGTCCCAGGGAGTTTCTGAGAAGAGTTTCCATCTCAGCTGCCTTCAGGTGGTGCCGGTCCACCTGCCTCAGTCCGGGCCGGCAGCCCAAGAGCAGTGCCGATGTGGGAACCAGCCCTTGGTCAGCATGTGCCTGTGGACAGGGGGCTGAAGTGAGCCTGCTTTATTTAAAGGGTCTCAGTAAAACTGGCCTGAAGGGCAGAGTGACCCTGAGAATCACACACATCTCATCCTTTCTGTGCAGGCCCAGCTGGCCAGAGGCGGGTTCTGGCCTGTTGACTGCTCCACTCCAGTCCCAGGCTGCCTTCTTGGAAGAGGAGAATTTTCAGTGTGGATTTGTTGATCCCTCCCATTAGCTTTGAGTGCTGTTTATATTCAAAATAATGGTTTACTCACGATAGCTGTGGGCACAGGATGATGCCTCAGTCTCTCTTCTTGCACACACACACACAATCTAGAAAAACCTGACTTGTAAGATTTGTGTTCCATAAGTCTCAAGTAATGCTGATGATATGTTACTGGTAATTTTTTCATTTTATTACTAATTTCAAGCAATATTTTCAAACAAATGTTGTTTCACATAGTGTTTTTAAATAAACAATCCCTATGATAGCTTCAGCATTACAGTATAGTAGCTACCAAAACTTGGGCAGTTTAATAAAAAAAATTGCAAAACACATTAGATTTCCAAATCACCATGAAAGTAACCATTAAATTTTGAGGTGAAGGGCTGGGGTTGTAGCTCAGCAGTAGAGCGCTCGCCTCGCACGTGCGAGACCCTGGGTTCGATCCTCAGCACTGTATAAAAATAAATAAGTGAAATAAAGGTATTGTGTCCAACTACAACTAAAAAATAAATATTAAAAAAATTTTGATGTTAAGAGAGGAAATATTAATTAAATCTCTTCATTTTTTTGACATTTGGGTGTCTGTTCTTGAAAATATTTAATGCATTTGCTAGTTAATTTCTGTGGCAAAGAAAAGCATTTAGCAAATCCACTCAAATACTCATTAGCAATAATTGTAGAGGCCTTGTGGAAATGCCAGTTAGAGCAGATACGGATATGTATTTATTCATGTGTATATATACACTCACATGAATAGATACACATACACACACACATATATATAAATACATATATATAAGCATGTATAAATACATACACACACACACAACACACACTGCACAAAGCGTAAGCAAAGAGATTGCCCTCTGGGAGTCCACGGTATAGTTGGAGCTAGGCAGTCTCCATGATACCCAGGTGGTATATGGATAAATGCTGCTTTCAAGGGATAAGGCATTTGGAGAACAGAGGATAGGAATCAGATCAGAGAAACTTCAAGAAGAAGAGTCCTGGTTCTTGAAGCATGATTCAGAATTAACCAGTTGGGCTGGGAAGTGGTAGCATTCAACGTGGAGGGGAAAAAAACACATGCTCAAAAGAGGAGAACCCTAAGAGAAGGTGTCTCCTGGGAGACCTCAGGAGAAGCAGAAAAGTGAACTGTTTCTGTGGAAAACCACACGGTGCATGGACTTGTAGTCACCTAGGAGCTTTCAAAAAATACCTCCTCCCTGGTACATTTTGTTAGGGATTCAGAGGAGCGGTGTCCTGGGCTTTCACAGATCAGCAGTCCTCAGGTAGTTAAAGGGGACCTGGTCCATTATGTGAGAACCTGGATTCCAGAACTATTGGAATCAGACACACCCCTCTCCAACTTGTAGGCCTTCCAGCCACTCATTTGTAACCCTGGGCACATGATCTTTGTGAGCTTTTTATCTACAAAATGAGTAAGTACCCACCTGACCGTGCTGTAATTCATTCACTCATCCATTCAGTCAAGTGTTCATTCAACAAATTTCCATTAAGTCCCTACAATATGCTGGCATTGTTCTGCATTCTGGGGATTTAGCTGAGAATTGAACAGTCCCCTCCTGCAACTCCACCCCCATCCTAAATAAATAAATGGAAAAACAAAAAGGAAAAGAAACTTGCCAGGGATCTGGGTAATGAGGATTAAATACAGTACCACAGGTAAAGCACTTAGCCAATGCTGGCACAGTACGAATAGGGAATTTATACTAATAATCATGTTTGCATAGTTAACTAGTTTTATAATGTGAAACTGAATAACATTTTTATTTATAACAGAGCCCGACTGCCTTAATGGAAGTATAATATCTAATTTAAAACAAACAAGTGATTAACCCATAAGTGGCACCCAAATTAGTAAATTTGCAGTTTGTTTCTCTCTGCTGAGGGTGTTCCCAGGGAAAAGGCAGTCACAAGCCACTTTCCTGTGCCTTCTGGGAATGAAGATAACTGTGCATCATTATCACAGGGGTGTCGTTGGTATCAAATATACCAATTGCACAGTTCTGCGTTATCCTATGGGCACTTTAAAGAAAATTGGGTGCCACTTGATGTTCCCGGAGCCCGAGGCCGGTTCTTGCTGCAGCTTTGTAGGAGAGCTCACAGAATATGGGCAGAGCCCGGCAGTCCAGGGCCTTCCCGCACCCGGGAGGGCATCTTCCAAGGCTTGACCATGACCGGACTCCACCAGGTGCTCTGGGACGACTCCATGTTCCATGTAACCAAAGCTGTGTAGCAAATTTGCAGAAATTGAAAAGAATGGAAGGAATGTGGTACTTTTTTATTTATGGCAGCTTTTGGAATTAAGTTCCAAAATGCAGAGCTGTTGTTACCAGTTGTCTTCAGTAACTAGCTCTACTAAACCTGAGAGGGAGCCATTGGAGATAGTGCTTGCTGAAGAGTTGATATTTCTAGTTTTTAAAGCTGCTACAGACTTTACTTGGGGACCATGCCCTTAAAATCTTCAGATTTGAATTTGTTCTGCTGAATTAATTCAGGAAATCAGTTCACATGACAATCTGGAGAAACAACTCATACATGAGATTGTTGCCAGTTAATGGGATCAATACTCTCATATAATAAAAGTATTATCTGTAATGTGCAGCAGCTGTGATGTGTGCGTTTGTGGATTTTCACTGTATTTTGTTTAACGAGATTTAACAAAGCTGGGTTTTATTGGCCCTCTGGCATTAGGTTAAAATAAGGGTGCTTTTTTCCTCCCCCCCCCCCAAATTTTTGCTTTTAAGTAATTATACTAGATTGTGGGCAGTGACATAAACTTCTCAATAACTCCCTGGAATAAACATTCAAAATATACTGTCTGTAAACACAGAGTCATTCATAGCAGCCGGATGCAAAGTGGAATGATAACTAAGTAGCTTCTTCCTCCTATTCTCAGTTCGATTTTTCTGCCATTTCTTACAATTCTGAAACATCTAGTAAGAAATTAGAGTGCTGCTCTGGCTGGGTTTTCACGCACTGCATCTAACAGTGAGTAGCAGTGCACATTTCACACGAATGTTCTTAAACAGAAATTCAGGTTCAACATGAAGTCACCACACAGCCCCATCCTAGTCCAGGGCTGCCTGTGTAGCCAGGGGACAGTGGAGCAGCGTTAAACCAGCTGCAGCTCAGACAGGTACGGGTGGACGGAGAATGCCTGGCCCCTCCCTGACAAGCCGCTGGTTGTCTGTGATGCAGTTTCCTGTAGTCTGAGGGGAGCTTCTCCGGGCAGGGGTGGGGCTGGGATTGCAGGTGTTGCCTAGGCATCAGGCATCACCTGGCAGATCATCTAGCCATGCCAGTCACACCACCATGTTTGGAGGCCTAAGTACGTCAGCTCAGTAGTAGCATGGAATTTGTGGTGTGTTGTTTTTTCTCCCCAGCGAATCAAACTGTGCATTGAATAGTCTATGTTTCACATTTTCTTATTAAAAATGTGTATGCTAACTGCAAAGATTCTGTCCCAAAGCAGTTTGTGAGGCCAGGAGAACAGTGGGTGTCCTGGTAGCCTCAGTCCTGCATAGGTGGCTTGGGCTGGACGGTGCCACTGTGAGGACTGTCCTGGGGCCTCAGGAGCCCCATGATGTGCCAGCACTGTGCCTCTGCAGGTGAAGGCAGCCACTTCTCCCTCCTGATAGGAAAACACGTGGGATGATGCCAGGGCACAGGGAGTGTCCAGGGAGCTTTGGGTTTGAGCCTTGTGCATTGTGGGTACGTATTAGAAAAGTAACGTATGGCTCCAGCCATCAGGTGCCGGGGTGCTGCTGCCACCCAGGGTATCTCCAGGTATTGACAAGCATCCCCTGAGAAGTATCATCCCTGGTTGAGAACCACTGACCTAGAGAAAGGGAGTAAGGGAATTCTGTTTTACTGTTCTGCATATGGGATGATTGACAGCCAGACTAGAAAAAGGATGTTTTATTTTCTAACCAGTATCTTCTGTGCTATAAGAATTACTTTTGTAATTCCACACTATATACTGCACAAAGCTTTAATCCAAAACTCTCTTCATGTACTGTAGCATCATGGAACTTCTTACTCATATCAGAGGGAAGAATTAGCTACATTCAGATGTAATCTAATATCACCTAATGCCACTTTCATTCCAAGAAAGTACTGTGATACTATTTCTTTTCATCAGGTAAAGAAAATTAATTAATCACTAAAAATTACCTTAAACAACAGGATCCACTTTGTCCATGAGTTTTTGTGTTTCAGAGACAAACATAATTATACAGAGCATTAAACTTAAAGAATTGGAACTACTGAAAGTGTATCATTAATAAAGTGCAAATGGTTAAACTAGACCTCAGGTAAATGGTTCAGTTCTGTGCAAGAACAAATGTATTTGATAAGGCAAATCTGCATATCAACAGATGGAAACAAGCCTCACATGTATGACAGAAGTTGTACCTGTTCTTGGTTGCTGTATGGATTTCCTTGAACCGTTCTGTAGCATTTCTTTAGAAGTATTATCTGTCAGACCTCACATTTCAGACTTTTTTCCTCCCTGGTGAGATAAATTCATTGTTGAATGTCTCACAAGGATGTGACAGGCTGGCAGAACATTTGCAGTGACCTCAAAAACACCCACATCAAGTGAATGTCCACACACCTTCTCCTCTGCTGTGAAGGGCAAGCTCCTCAGTGCCTGCCTTTCACATAGCCCAGGGACTCATTTACAATTTACATTGGCTGTGAGACTCTCACCCCCAGGACTTCTGCTGTGTTTATGCCAGATAATAGGGCACTTGAAACCTGTTAGCACTTGTAAACAGGTCTGTCAGGCTCATCTAACATGGCAATTATGAAGTCTGTGTCTTACACAGGTTCTAGGATTAAATCAGAACAACAATGTAGATAAGAGACCACAGGAAGTTTCTGCATTGAACAATCTATTACTTAAAGGAAATCCCAAGTACTATGGACCTCAGACTTCAAAATCCCTGTGGAGGACTTAATGAACTTTACCTATTATATTTTAGGGGAAAAATATTAATTTGATGAATATTTATTTAACAAAGTATTGTTCTCCTAAATGAGAGTAAATAAACACAGGATTAAAGGGAAGGAGGGAAGAAAAAGGAATGGAATATGGATGGGTGGACGGATGGATGGATAAGATGAAAGACAGCAGCTTTGAACTGTTGTTTATGCACGTTGAACTTGGATTTCTGTTTTACTTTTCAGCCAATGTTTTCAGTTGCACCAAGCTTAGCCACCAATGCATCAGCAGCCTTTAATCCCTACCTGGGACCTGTCTCCCCCAGCCTGGTTCCAGCAGAGATCTTGCCCACGGCACCCATGTTGGTTACAGGGAATCCCGGAGTGCCCGTGCCTGCGGCTGCCGCTGCTGCTGCCCAAAAACTGATGCGCACAGACAGACTGGAGGTAGGAATGTGGTGTCCGCGTCTTTGTGTTTTTCATTCTAGTCCTCAAACTGTGTCCATGGCCAAAATTGTTTTTTTTTTGTTTTTTTTTTTTAAATCAGAATCAACATTTGGTTTAGTGTTTGTAGCATTTTAGAAGAAAATAGGTATGCTTTATTTGATGAAGGCAGTGTTTATAGAAACCACAGCATCCCCCAGTATAACAGCAGAGAGCCTGAGCTCTAGAGCTGCCTGTTACTCCACTGTGCCTCAGTTTCCTTCTCTTTAAAATGTTAGTAATAATGACATTTGCCTCAGAGAGTTAGAAAGACATCTGGTGCTGAGCAAGTATTTCTTTTTCTTTCTTTTTTTTTTTTTTTTTGAAGGGGGTACCTGGGATTGAACTCAGGGGCACTCAACCAGTGAGCCATATCCCTAGCCCATTTTTATATTTTATTTAGCGACAGGATCTCCCTGAGTTGCTGAGCACCTCGCGAGGTTGCTGAGGCTGGCTTTGGATTCACGATCTTCCTGCCTCAACTTCCTAAGCCACTGGGATTGTAGGAGTACTGTTTATTGACATAGCCATCAAAAATAGCAAATTGTATCAGTCTGCTAAAATTTAGTTCTCATGAAGATGTAACAGGCATTAGTTACTGTGTATTAAACATTGTAAAATTTATTATTGCAAGTTTCTTCATAAGCTGTACAATATTTTGGTTGAAATCCCAGAGCACCTTTGTGAAATGTATTCTTCTAAAAGTATTTTTCATAGGAAATTTCTTGGTGCTCTCAGTCTTCCTGTCAAGGTTGATCAGGTGCATGTGCTTTGCTGTTGATACATGAGGAAGAAATTAAAGTTATAATACTTTGAAGTGATTGCTCAGAGTTTCAGCATGGCTGAATTAATGTATCTGGAAAACTACAGATATGGGGGAACTGGTAGTATTCATGAAAGGTACAGACCTGTCCCTGAACCACCTCGTCTTCCTTCTCTGTTGAGGCAGTACCCAGGCCGAGAAGTCCTGCGTGTGTGAACTGCTGAGGCAGCAGCAGAGGAAGGCTGTCAGTCGAAAGTGGTCTGTCAGTTTGCAGGAACTTAGTAAGCACCAGAGTCCTACTGACTGACTCTTGTCTCCTTTGTTAAAGAGGGTCTCGGTTTTCAGCATATTTGCAGCCATATACCAGACAGGTGCCCCACACATTCACACCTCAAAAAAATCTTAGGAGGATGTCATGACCTTCATTTTACAAGGAAGTGAGGGGAAGAGAGGTGCACTAACTTATCTTTGCTACAGAGATGCACCTGGACTTTTAGGTGGGTTGTCATTCAGCCTTGTACTTGCTCATGCATTAACTAATTCTGTTTGCAAATGAGTTAGGTCAAAATGGAATGAATTTTAAATATTTCAGATCACTGGGTGCTCACCATTTGAAGCAGTTGTGTTTCACCTGACCTTTCTAAAGCAAACTCTGGGTTCTTAACTCACGATTGTTAATTGATTAATGGGAGGACATAAGCAGTCTGAGCCAAACATGGATGAATTAATTATTAATCGGTGATGATATTTAAAAAACTGAGAGAATGGAGACAGCAAAAGGCTGAGTTGTGTGGCCAGAATGCTTCCAAAACTAACCCTCCCTCCATTTGAGGTCGTCGGCCTTCAGCTGCATTTGGTGGTGTTTAATTGGAAGCAGACTGATCTTTGGGTCGTGTTTTCTGTGGATATCACCTGTGTGCTTTGTCGCTTTCTTTTGCTGTGGTCGTAACAGGTGTCTTCTGCCCCATCAGCTGTCACTCTCTTTTGCCTGAGGGCCATGTACCCCAATGCTTGATCGTAGAGCAGCGTCCTGTGCTGCTTGGTCAGCTGGATCAGAGTCGGTGTCCCAGTCTCCATCTGCTGGGGAGCTGAGTGTGACAGAGGAGAGTCCTCTGACCTGTGCCGCATTGTTGTGGACAGTCTCCTGCATGCTAATGACACTGCTTGGGGGAGGGCGCAGGAAGGGCCGGGAGGGCACACAGTGGTTCACTAATGGCCGCATGTTTGGTTATTTGGAGTTGAAACCCGTACTCTATTTTAATATGTATTTTAAACTTCTTGTTTCACCTGAGGTGAGACTAGCCTAAGTCATTTGGTATATTACCTAATTCTTACCACTCTCTTTTCTCTTTTTATTATACAGTTATTACACAGTGAAGAAATTTGAAAAACTTCTGATTCTTTGTAATTGCTTATAAGAATTGACATGTTTACAGGACCCTATGCCATGCTACAAAAAAATAATTTTTAAATTGGAAAACTGACAGCTGAGCATTAATGCTTCTGGTGTTGTTAATTAGATGAGCTTGGTCTGAGATTCTCAAAACTCCAAGATTCACATTTCAAACATGTAAAATGAGGGGGTTGCACCCAATAATCTCTCAGGTCACCTCCACTTACAACATTCTGTGGACATTGAGGCCATTTTTTTGCTTTTAGCACCAGCCACGCTGTTTTGGAACATTTACTTGAAAGTGTGTATACACACACACACACACACACACACACATCACATGCATGGCTTGATCAGGCCATCTGTGTGTCTGTTTATCCACTCATCTATCTTCCTTTTTTCTTTATTATTTTTAAAGACTGTCTTCATGCATTTCCTGTATTCTCAACCTAAGACTTTGTGGTTTTCTCTGAAGATGGTAAATACCAATCACTGGAATGTGACTGTTAAAATTCCATTTTGTGACCTTCCTAGCAAGTTTTACTTCAGTGATTATTTTAGGAAATCACTAAGGTGTGTAGCTACTAGAAAAGTCTGGGTCTTTATGTCCTACCATGCTTCTTAGCAAAGAGCTGGTACTGAGGGAAATCATTGTTTGACTTGCTTTTGAGAAGCATAGTAAGTTCGGGTACAAAAGGATAATGAATGAATTACTGCTGAGCATCCAGTGGAGAACGACTGAGCTTCCTTCAGGTAGAAGCACCTGAGGAACACCTGGGAAGCCCCCACTGATCTCCCTGACCAGTCTTCAGGAAAGGGCCACGGGAGAACCGTGCCAGCTCTACACTGCTGTCCAGTCACTGGTTATGTGAAAGAATGAAGGAGTCCTTCAGCCCGTCAGCCCTTCAGTCCATCCTAGAAAGATCCACGTCCTGCTGGGCATGGTAGTACACCCTGTAATCCCAGCAGCTCAGGAGGTTGAAGCAGGAGGATCACGAGTTCAAAGCCAGCCTCAGCAACTTAACAAGGCCCTAAGCAACTCATCGAGACCCTGTCTCTAAATAAAATACAAAATAGGGCTGATGATATGGCTTAGTAGTTGAATGCCCCCGAGTTCAACCCCAGTACCAAAAAAAAGAAAGATACATGCCCTGTTTAGAGCTTAGCGTGATCCCACAGGGTCACAAAACATGAAATTTTAACTTGAAGAGAAATTTTTAAACATGTGCTCAGGTGCCCCTGGAGTCACGTTTACATTTTGAGCAACCAGCTACAAGTCTCGCTCATACTCCTAGATGCAGTGCAGTAGCTTCAGGCCCAATGAGACTGGAACCACTTAGAGTGATTGCCAGAGTCACAGGGCCTCCTCCGAGGACTTCCTAGTAGGTCTGTCCTGAGGCTCAGGCTCTTTGTTCCCACAGGTCAGCTGATGTCTGCTGCAGGCTCCCTCTGGAGGGGCCAGCACTGGTTACCTGTGCCTCAGCTTTTCATTGTTTATTTCACGTACAGTTATTGTGACTTGGTTGAAAAGTCCGCCTCACCCAGACAGAAAACATCTGCGTAGTGCTAAACTGCTCCGAATGGAATCCCCAGCTAATGAAGCCTTTAGGTAGACAGTGATGCTTATCAGAGTAGTTGATGTCACACAGCAGTGGTCAAACCAACCCAGGGTGCTTAGGAAGATGTTAGGTGGCTCTAGGGTCAGTTGCTTCCTTTTCACTTCAGGGGTCTTCATGAGAACATAGCTGTTCCGGGTGAGGCGGGCAAACCTCTTGGTTTCTCCTATTTTCAGTTGAAGTTTCCTTGTAAATAAAATCACCCTCATGCTGCTGCCTTTCTCTACTGGGTGATGGTGACGCAGCTCCGACTCAGGCCTCTGGCTGCCGTGTGCTGCCACCGTGCATGTGCGTGGCCAGAAGAGTCAGAAAGCTCCTCTGTGGGCCGAGGGTAAGGGGACAGTATTCACCTCGCAGAGCTGAAGAGAGGTCGGAGCTTTCATGAGTTCAGTGGATTTAGCATGATTAGGTGTAAGAGTTTCTATTCAGAGAAGATTAGAAAAGCAGAAGCTTTCAGTGATACACGAGAGGCTTATTGGCAGGGTTACTTTGCTTTTCTATTTCTGTAGAGAACGTTTGGCTACTGCTTATGTAATATTGTAATTTCTCAAGAAAATGACTGAGAAATCTTACAAGTTTTGTGCACAGGAATCAATCTAGAAAGCACAGTAAAAGCAGCCGTGCAGGTGAGCGTTCAGTCATCTGGTGAAGGCTGGTTTCTTTTCCTATCCCGGTGGGTTTGCAGGCTTCTCCCTTCACCCAGGAATAACTGGACCCCTGGAAAGTAGGTTTAGTGATTCTTTTGTTGGTCATCCCTACATATTAACATTTGATTATTTTCATGAAGTCAAATGACAAATTCCCACCATATATACACACACACACACACACATACATACATATACATACACATATACACATATATATGTAAAATATAAATTATACTATATAGAAGTATGCTGTGTTCCTGTGTTCTCTAGCATAAATGATAATTATAGGGTCCACTTTAGATTTCAAAGAAAACTTCCCTTTGATCTTAACATAAACAGAGACAGTTAAAGCAGGTGTCCTTTTCTTCCTTTTTAACAAGAGGAGAACATTGATCAGATTTGTACAATTATGGAATAACTGACCAAAGCTAGCATCATGTCTTTGGATACATAAAAACCTTATTATATAGTAAATTAAATGAAGTCCCTTCCACTGATCACCAGAAATTTAGAACATGGAGATTTTAATCATTTCTAAATTGAAAGCACACAAAAAAATGTTTTTGAACTAGAGTTTAAACTCACTGATAAAATCACTGGTTGTCAGTATTACTTTTTTCTCAGTATTACTGTTTAAAGTGTCATGTTAGCTCAAGCTTAATTGGAAATGAAGGCCACTGTGCCTCCTGCTGAACATGTATGTGTATGTCTTTCAGTAAGTCCCTAATATTGGTCATTTAGTTTAAAACTGACTGCCCCAAATATTAAAATAGACTGAGTCTCTGTTATAATTAGGTCTCTGTTCCTGTTTTGGGATGTTATTCTTGAAAAAATGGCTGAGTCGATTACACAAATACAATGAACACAAAGACTGTTGCTTCAAAGGTATCTCTTCTGGAAAGGGAAAAAAAAAAAAACATGCAGATGTCAGTCCATTAACTCAGACATTGACACTAGTTTCCTTAGACTCCAGCATCTCACTTGCAGAATTAGTTTCCTTAGACTCCAGCACCTCACTTGCAGAATAAGGAGAATACTCCTTATAAAACCTCTTATTATTTTGACCATTTGGAAACATGTTTGTGATACTTAAAAAAAAGAGATCAAATAACAGAATTGTCTGTCATCATAGGACTTGTGTGGCATGTTATAAGCTATGAATGTATTATCTCCTACAGTGTTCATGACCTTTTAAAATTGGGCTTAATAGTGTTCTCATTTTGAAGATTCCATAGCTGGCCAAGTGGCAGCATTGGAACCCACAATCTTAGACTCAGAACTATCTTCTTTCTACTGTATCACTGCCATTTATTTAACAAAAAGAGATTTATTCCTTTCTGTTTTTTTAATTAACTTCTTAAAAGTGTATAATTATTTCATAGATGTTTTAGAACTTAAATGTTTTTAGAGAATATCTTTATTGGAATGCTGATTTTTTTACTTGAAAAGCAACCTTTTACCCATTTTCTATTGATCTTGATAAACTTGCCTGGTTTATAAAATAAATCTTGCCTTAATACCAGTTGAATAAAAGACTCAATATTCTTTTTGATTGAGTCACATCTTATGTTTATCTAAATATATCTGATTGTTTTAATTTAGATTTGAAAACCACTTATGCAACTTTAGATAGTGCTTTTATTTTTTTACTCACCAAGGCCATTTCTGCACATTCATCCTTGGAAATGATCAGAAATTCCTCTTTCAGGATTGTATTCTTTGTAGTATTATTTGTAGTATGGGAATATTGGAAATAACCTCGGTGTCCTCTGAGGTACCTGTGTTGTGCGAGCTAGTGCATGAATTAGAGGCACCATCCAAGGTGGTCACTCCAGACCATGTTTAGTAGAATGATTAAATGCTCATGCTATGCTGTTGTCCATAGAAGGCCACCAAGTTTAAGTATACTATAATCACACTCTTTAAAAACATGTGCATGTGGAAGACTAGATAAGAAGACAGGGGGAAAGAAGAACCATGATATTGGGGTTTTTAGATGTGCCCTACCATCTCTGTTTCAGATTCCCTGTGTGCTAGATCCCATAATCTCTTATTCTGATTTGAATTATGAAGGTAAATTTGTAGAAATTGTTTGTCAATTATATTTTGCTAATGCAATTCTACATCTGAATGATTTCTTTGGGCATCGGTGCAGTCTAAAGTGTTCTTGAATTTATCAGAGAAAACAGGCCAAACCCGTTATTCAGTCAAGGGGTGGATCCGTTTATACATGGAGACTGTGGAGGACTGTGTGCTTTAGCTCGAGGAATTCTGTTCCATCTGCAGAAGGACCCAGCAGTGCAGACAGACGTCTAGCACCTGGAAACCCCTCCTGTCCATCTGTCCCAGGGCTCCCTGGGGCTTCCACCAGGGCAGGTGGAAACCACTTATGCAACTTTAGATAGTGCTTTTATTTTTTGACTCACCAAGGCCATTTCTGCACATTCATCCTTGGAAATGATCAGAAATTCCTGTTTCAGGAATGTATTCTTTGTGGTATTGTTTGTAGTATGGGAATATTGGAAATTACCTCGGTGTCCTCTGAGGTACCTGTGTTGTGCGAGTTAGTGGATGAATTAGAGGCACCATCCAAGGTGGTCACTCCAGACCATGTTTAGTAGAATGATTAAATGCTCATGCTATGCTGTTGTTGCTAAGCTCCCAGGAGCTTTCTTCTTTCTTCTTTATTTTTTTCAAAGACATAAATAATGTGAGAGTAGCACTCTCAGTATGTTTCTTCTGTCCCGTTTCTTATATCAGGGAGAAATTAAAATATGAAATAGCCAAAAGTGCATATCCTGCAAAATCATTGGCTTTGAAACCTGAAAAAAGGTTTTGATTTTAGGAAATGCTCTAAACTAATTGCTAATGATTAAGTCTGCTTAATTATTTTCTGATTTCTTCCTGTATGCATCCTACCGAGGAGTGAAGAGTGTAAAATTGTAATGAACCAGTCCTGAACCTATAGAAATCACACACGTGAAGAACTCACACACACACTCACTCTGGCTTTCTTGTCAGTGTGCACAAAGTAAGTTCAACTGAAAATTGGAGTGTGAGATCTGCTGCCTCTGGTTCCTCTCCCAGCGACTCAGGAAGGTGGGAATCACCAAGAGCTCAGGACAGTGGGGAGAGATCCCTCGTACCTCATCCAGGTTCCCTGCTGGATGAGGCCTCCTTGGCGTGGATATGCATAAACAGCGAAGGAGGCTTTTTTTTTTTTTTTTTTAATGCTGTGGCATTTGCTCAGCATGAGCCTGGTATATGGGCGTCAGCTGCTGCTTCTCACTGAATTTGGTGCTCCTTCTCTTGGCTCTGGTCAGGTGCCGGGAATCTGTTCAAGAAAGCTCCACCACTGATTCTGAGGCTCTGCCAGAGAGGACAGGGGACACTCATGCTGCAAAACAGTTTGGCCACTTTTGCTTTTTAAATTATGAACTTCCTGGTTATGCTTTTTCCCCTCCTATTCAATAAAATAAATACAGTACTAAAAGTTGCTCTTTTATAACTTCCTAAGTCCTCTCTGTACTCGTGAGTGGCTCTCAAGAGTGTCTGTCTGGCACATGGTAGTAAATTATTCAATAAATTTTGAAAAATTAAATAAATTGAATGAGGTGATGAATGGAGTTGGCGGGGCCGTACTTGCTGAATACAAAGCTTCTGCCGGCTGACATCGCCCGGTGGTGTGGGCTGTCATTCTTTTGGTGTTCTTAGGATCTAGTGTGGTGCAAACTGTGGAGTCCTCCTTTTTTTTTTTTTTCCCAAACATTTTTTAAAAATCTCTTTATTTTTTTTTTATTTATTTTTCTGTGGTGCTGAGGATCAAACCCAGTGCCTCACCTGTGCGAGGTAAGGGCTCTACCACTGAGCCCCTGCCCCAGCTCCTGTGGAGTCCTTCTTAGGAAGCACTTTCCTCAGTACTAAGATATGAATGTGCTGGGGGAAGCAGCAGGTTTGAAGGCAGTCGTTTATTGATGAAAGTCAAAGAAAACCTTTACTTTTAAAATCGTAACAAAGTTAGTTTGTCTTTCTTGCTTGACTCCAAAATAAAGTGCCCCATCTGCATTGCGCACTCTGTGGAAGATCTTGAAGCACAGAGCTGTTTCCTTGCAAGCCTGTGCTTCCAAAGCTTTGGCAAGTTTGAAACAGGAGCATGTAAACGGTGCCAAGGCCTTTCTGTGATTGAGAGCACCCCCTGGTGGTGAAAACATCAAACTGTCCCCAGTGAAGATGGCAGATGGTAATGAGTCGAATCTAGCCCATCAATAAGAAATGATCCATTTTCACCTTTTCCATGGCATCCTCGTGGAGAAATTAACAGATATAAAACAAGCAGATGATAACACAGCCAAGGATTTGTCCATATGCTTTATGTAGCTCCCACATGAATCTCTAGTGATCAGAAATAACTCCTAGGAACGAGGTAGTTAAAAGCCGTCAGATTTGGTTTACTTTTCACTTGGAAATAATTTCATATTTACACAAAAGTTGCAAAAACAGATCCCAAAGTTTCCACCTACCTTTCATCCCCCGAGCTAAATATTAACATCTTATATCACCATGCTATTTATAAAACCAGAAAGTCTGCATTGATGCACTGCCCTTAACCCATCCTCAGGTCCAAATCAGGCTCCACCAGCTGTCCTACCACCGGTCCTGTCTGTGGCTCCCAGGTTGTCTCATCTCTGACCGGGTCTTGGTTTTGCTTTGTTTTATGAGCTTGACAGTTTGAAGGGCACTGGTTGGTTATTTTGTAAAATATCCTGCACACAGTTTGGGGTTTCCTCATGGTTGATTTTAGGTTGTGAAGCTGTGGCCCTCTCATTGTTAGATGCGTGATGATGTCCTTGTGTCTCATGACGGGTGATGTTAACTTTGTTCACTTGGGTCAAGTGGTGTCTGCCAGGCTAGGTCTGTGAAGTTACTCCGTAATTCCCTTGGTAATTGCTAAGAATATCAACATGATGTGATGAAGTGTTGCCGTGGCTGAATCACGAATGCATTTTCTTTCTCAGGGCATTTTTCCTAAATGGGGTTGTGATTTGCATACTAAACTGGGCACCACTGAAATTTTGTTGCATTGTTTTGCAGTCACCTTTTGCCTGTCATCTATGCCTTCTGCCACCCGTTTTGACCATGAAGGCACAGTCTCTGGAAAGGTCCTCCTTGTTCATGTTGACTGAACCCCGTGCATTTAATGCCCCCCAGGTATGTCGAGAGTACCAGCGTGGCAACTGCAACCGAGGAGAGAATGATTGCCGGTTTGCCCACCCTGCTGACAGTACGATGATTGACACCAACGACAACACAGTCACCGTCTGTATGGATTACATCAAAGGGAGATGCTCTCGGGAAAAGTGCAAATACTTTCACCCTCCTGCACATCTGCAAGCCAAGATCAAGGCTGCCCAATACCAGGTCAACCAGGCTGCAGCAGCACAGGCTGCAGCAACCGCAGCTGCCATGGTGAGTGGGGCCAGCAGCCCTCCCCATGGGCATTCGGGAGCCCAGGGAGCAACTGTATCTGACTACAGGCTGTTCATTTATTAACCTTTTCCTTTTTGAATCTTTGCTGAAGATATGTTTGTTCAGGTATCCCAGACAATACATAAAGAAGTTACCGCTCGCAGAAGTGAGGCTTGCCCCTCCGGTGGTTGAGATTGCTCCTACTCTTGGCCTGACTCTTAATGTCTGTCTTATTCTGGATGTAGGGTTTCTGAAATCCCCGCTTTGTAAAGAACCACCTGTCTCCTTTCCAATTGAACGATATTGCCGTTTCCGGTCTTATTTCTGTGTGCCATCCAATCAGCCACTCTGCCCTTTGGTGTGTTCTTTTGCACATCAAACCTCCTTTTAGTGTATTATCTGACTGTGAACAAGAACATAATCTGGAACTATTTAGGAGAATCGTGTCCACCAAATTGTTTTCAGAATTAGCTACAGGATTTGGAATAGTGCTCTATCTAGATCGGCAGAAATGATACTGTGGCATAAACATAACCATAAAGCTACAGAAGCTCGACTCTGCCATTATACAGACAGGAGGAAGCTGTGCTCAGCAGTTAGAAGACTGCTCAGAGTAGATACTAAACCACTCTCCAAAGGTGAATTTAATGGGACCTAATAGCTGAGTTTAATGAGTCCATTCTTTGTTCTTTGCTTAGCTGTTTTAATGTTGTCCTTTTTTTACATAAATATATGCCTTAATCTCCAAAATGCCCATAAAAATATCACTGTGCAGTATTTTATAGCACAGTGAAATGATGGCGGGAGAGATCTTTTCTGTGTTTGTTATGGATACTTGAGCAAAAATACAGAAGGCCGACTCTCTCCTGTTCTCCTTCTTTCACTCTCTTTTTTTTTTTTCTGTTAGAGTATCTCGTTTGTAATTAACTACAAAGAGGAGTTATCCTCCCAATAACAACTCAATAGCGCCTTTATTGTGCATGCTTAGTCTTGTTATTCGTTGTATATGGCATTCCGATGATTTGTTTTTTTATTTGTTTTTTCTCACCTACCCAATGCACTGCTGCCCCCATGATGCACCTCTGCTTGCTGTTTATGTTAATGCGCTTGAACCCCACTGGCCCATTGCCATCATGTGCTCGCTGCCTGCTAATTAAGACTCAGTCGGCTGTCAAATCACTGAAGCGACCCCTCGAGGCAACCTTTGACCTGGTACTATGACCTTTCACCTTTTAGCTTGGCATGTAGCTTTATTGTAGATACAAGTTTTTGATTTTTTGATTTATTTTTTTTACCAATTTAAAAATATATAGATTCCTTTTTCTGTTATAAAGATGTAAAGTACAAAGTACAATGAAAACTGAGTGTGGTTTCCTGACAAAATGAGTGGAATACTGTAATCTGAGTACAGAGATGGATATCGTGCAGGGAGACACTGAAAGCCCAGCAGCCCACATTCAGTTTAACCACATTGTAAATGTTCTAAATGAAATACCTGGAGGACTTTAGGGTGTATTTTTTGACTGTGTATTTATGTACCTGTTTGGTTAGCATGGCTTTAGTGATAGAATGATCTACTTTTCAGTATTTCTAGTTGAGTATTTGAGGGAAACAGTTGCATGTTCTGGGACATCTGCATGTGTAGGCGGGAGGGGACAGCGGGGGTCGGTGTTACTCCCTGTTGCAGTCACTCTGCACAATTAACTCTTAACATCGCTTGTCCCTGTCGATGCTCATGGAGCTCGCAGTGCAGCTTCTTCTTCCCCCAAATCAGTGGCTTCCCCCTGAAAGCCTGAAGCATTATGGGACGTGAAACCCGTAACACACCATAACGCGTGCTGTCCTACCGGTGGGGATTGTTGTGGGCAAAAATAATGCTTCCTTTAAAGCTTTTATCTTGCTTTGGTACCTTTGATTTTTTTTTTTTGTGTACTGGACTCCCCTGGGTAGTTAAGTGCTCTGCTGTGTGCTTGCTCAGGCTTCCTAACAAGTGTAGCCTTCGACTGATTTCTCTTTTTTCTTTTTCTCTTTTTACTGGTATTTGTTTTTTATACTCATTTACTAAACAGGGAATTCCTCAAGCTGTACTTCCCCCATTACCAAAGAGGCCTGCTCTTGAAAAAACCAACGGTGCCACCGCAGTCTTTAACACTGGCATTTTCCAGTACCAACAGGCTCTGGCCAACATGCAGTTACAGCAGCACACGGCGTTCCTCCCACCAGGTAAGGGGCCCGTGGGCCAATGCACCTGCCAACCTTGCAGCCCCGAGTTAGAGAGGTAGCCCACCCCCTCTGCTCCCCGTCCTAGATAAGGGGTACAGTAAGGTAGTCAGCAGTGAAACCTAGCTGAAGATGTTCCTTAAAAACTAAGAGCTTTAGCTTAATGAAACCTGCAGTCAGGGTCCGTGTTGTTTTATAGATTTGTGTTTGTGTTATTTGGAATTGAAATATGGTTCTCTTCTCTTTTTTCTCTTCCCTCAACACTGTCATATGTCTGTCAAGCTATCTTATGATTCTTTTCAGCTGTAAGACCCCTTTGCCTTCATGATTACATAGGAGTTCATTTGAATTATGTGAAATGACTCAAATATGATCATTTTTCAGCATTTTTGTTTTCAAAGTGGGCAATAAAAAACCAATTATCATTCCAGAGCTCTGAAAACATGCTTTTCTTAGTAGCAATTAATACGTTGCTCAAAATTATTATTGCTCATACACTATCATGGAAAAAATAGCTCTAAGTGACAATGATGTTTGCATTTATTATTGAGGTATAGATCTGTGATTCCAGTTCACATTCCACTTTGCTCACACATACATACTCTACAGTTATTCACAGGACCAAGGGTTAAAAACACAAGCTGACAACTCATTTACACTCGGGGAACTTTGCTGCTTTTACACACTTAGGGTTTATTTCAGAAAATCCATGCTAAACTTAGTAATCTGCAAGTTAACAGCCAGGCACTCTACATCTCATCTTTCTCTCCACTTTTTAACCTTCCTTAAAAAAAAAAAAAAAAAAAAAACCATCAGTGTAGAATTTTATTTATTCAATAAAATAATTTTACTAATTAAATTAGTAACTAGGTGTTAATGTCAAAGATCCAGTCCCTTATGCCATATTGACAGTGCATTTGGTTTCTAATACTATGAGAGAATGTGAAATTTGTTTTTAATTTGTGAATAAAAGAATATACTCAGATTATTTTTTCTGGTTAGTGCAACTTTTACATAGTGCATCTTTGAAAACTGGCTGTCCATATGTAGTAGAGTCAGCTAACTAGAATATCATGTTCCCTGCACAATGGACAAAATGATCATTATACTCATGAAATAACATCTATCCAGTTGCAGTTTGTCCCTGTTAAATAAAAAAGGAAACAATTTTGGTTTATGGCATATTTGTTGCATTCTGAGGGAAAATTCATGTTTTATACCTTTGTTCCCAACATATGTTTTTTGGAAACCTCCATAAATTAATCTTTTTGCTTTTTTGTTAAGTTCTCCTGTCCCTAGATTTTTGCTGTTTCCAACAAACAATCCATCAAATTTTGTATACTCAGATCACTCAACAAAGTTTGAAGGAATTATAGGTGACTATCATAATTTCTTTGAAGAAATTTTAAAATTTATTTTTGTCAGTTTACTTCACTGAATAAAACATTGTCATTAGAAATGACAGTTTCCCTATTTAAAATCTAAAAATAAAAACAAATTTATCTTCCTCCATATGCTATCTAAAGGAAATGGAAATAACCCATCTCATCAAACGAGTTTTGCATTTGTTTCTGCAACGATATTCAGTTGACTGTACTCTTTCCTAAGTGTAGCCATTGGTCTTATAATATGTATGACCCTTATTTATGACCTGAGTGTCTCCCTGACAGTTTTTAGCCTGTGGACAGAGCGTGGTAAGGTACAGATGGATGTTAGGAAAGAGTCAAGTGAGGGAAAACAGCAAACACATTCATAAGTCAGATTCAATTGTCCCTCTGTTCCTGAAAGTTAAGCATTGCTAATTTAAATAAAATTTGCTACAGTATCTTGAAAAATTAAGATGGATTTGCATTTTTCATTTATGATACATTTTGTAAAGAGATAGTCTGTTCTGGATATATGTAGTTAAATGTTGTAATTAATATAAAACTATTTCCAGAGTCATATTAAATAACTTTTAGTTGCAATCTAGTTTTAAAGTGTTAAGGCTTCAGGTTAACCTATTTATTAGTCTCGTAACCAGAAGCAGGTAACTGCCTTGTGAGTCTTTAAAAATACTATCATCATTATCTGTGTGCCTGAGTGCCCAGAGAGCAGCCCTAAGACATGAGGACTTTAAAATGGACAGTGCAGCCCTACTTCTGCCAGAGCACCGTGCTGGCCCATCAGAAAGGACAGCGTAACCCGGAACCAGGAGGGCAGCAGCAGGAGTGGAGGGGCACAGGGAGCCGTGGGGTCTGGGAGGCGCCCAAGAGCACAGGCCAGTCTCAGGATGGTCAGTGTTCACACAGCCCTGTGGCCTGGAGGAAGTTCTGCTGGCAGGTGGCACCTGTGTGCATGGCAGACCCCCTGTGTCTCCATTGACATCCTAGTGTATACCACAGGGAGAGGTGGGTAGCCAGGTCTGCGCCCCCTAGGGTTGGCCAGATGCACACACCCACCCAAGAGTTGTGCCCTTATGTGCAGTGTTGCCAGATCTAGTGATTTTCCCCCAGCGATTCTGGACGTTAGTGTGTTCATATATGAAAATTTTAGAAACATTTTGACAACTAATTCAATTATAAAAACACCTCTGAGAACTAAAGGAAATCCTCCTACCATGGATTCATAGGTGATCTCATGTGTAATAACTGGGAGTAAATGAGTGAGTTCATTTTCCAAAATCTTAAGTTAATCTGTATGCAAATAGTCCAGAAGCAGCACAGAGCTGAGTAGACTTCTGACCGCTGTGTAGCAACTGGGAAGGGTCCTCCCAAGGTGTTGTTGAGACTGGGAAGAAAAAGGAAGTCATTTATTTTTTGCATCTCAGATTTTTAAAAGTCTGTAGTCTGTTGAATCGATTTTCTACAGAGATATGTAAGCATATTTCATCCGAGTCACAGTGACACATGGTTGCTAAATCCTTAGGGCAGCTGACTATATACATGGAGAAGGATGCTGGCAAAACAGACAGGGCTCAGAGCTGGGGTTATAGCTCAGTGGTGGAGCGCTTGCCTAGCATGGGAGGCACTGGGTTCTATCCTTGGCACCACATAAAAAAATAAAGTGATTGTGTCCGTCTACAACTAAACTATTAAAAGTAAAAAAAAAAAAAAAAAAATCAGGGTTCAATGGCAACCCAGCCGATTGGCTAAGAAAAATTGCTAGATTCAATGACTTTAAGAACAGACTTGTCCTACGTGGTGTCCACCCACTGCACACACAAGTCCTGTGTGTCCCCCAGCACTCCTTCAGTCCTTAGCTCCCTCTTCCCTTTCCTCTCTTTGGCCTCCCCTCCCATCACCTTTCCCTCTTCCATCCATCCATCCATTCTTCCATTCATTCAGTCAGCAGACACCCGTCTTACGCCACACTTTGTGTCCACGTTTACCCCAGGGATTGCAAACTCAGTTCTCAGGGACACGCTAGGATCCAGAAATGTTTAAAGAAAGTTTAAATGTGCATTCTATAGGCAAGGCACAGACACCCCAGCTAGAAGCCCGCTCTCCTCTGTCCTCAGACCTAGCTGTTTCTTACTTTTGTTCCAGGGCTCTCCAATCTAGTGGTCACGCCTCACACCGAGTCACTTGTGTTCCATGATCTCGTTTTCCCCTCTAGCAATATCAAAAGGTTGTCTTAACACTCCAGTTTTAGCAGTGAGCAGTCTGGGACCAACAAAGGCCCAGCAGTTTGCCTACAAGTTAAATGATTTACAAGGTTTAGCTAGAACTTGAACTCAGGCCAGGGGACGTGGGTTAGTCTCTGTATCTGTGAGCTTATGACGAAAATATCAACACAATGACTCAGGAGAATGGAACCAGCCCTTACTGATCACCTAACTCCCTGAATAATGTCTCATGCCCTCCATTTTATTTAAAGACAAATATTAGATGAAATTCACATTGAATTTTTTTTTCGATTTTAGGTATATACTGCTCTTTTTAAAACTTTATCACTCTTCAGGACTAAATTGATTATTGATGCAGATTATGCATAATCCAGGGCCTTCTTAGGATGTAGGTATGAATTTAATTTCACCCTGTAATGAGAGTATGTCAGAAATATCATTTTATTTACATTGTTTCTTTTTCTTGAATTTAAATTAAGCACAACTCTAAACTCCAAGTTTCCTTCCTGGGAGATAAGAGGCATTACAGGCCTCCTCCTTCTGACATCCTCCTCCCTCCTGATCCCACCTTAGGGTGAGGCCTGTGCAGCCCATGATCTCAGCTGACTCTCCCTTCTCCATTCTCCAGCCACCAGGGCTCATTGGTGATGCAATCATTGCAAGCCGCCAGAGCTCTGTAAGACAGGTCCCTGGGGCTCTGAACCTGCATAGGTAGGAGCACCCCTGCCCTCAAGGTCCTGCTCCTGTGGGCCATTGTGAAAGCATGGGCTTCCTGAACACCTGCATAGCTGCTACTGGCCTCCGCAGGGCCTTGAGGACCTTTCCGCTGGTCCTCCATTGCCATATCTGCCTGCCTGAAGCACATCTGTCCTCTCCCTCCCCAGCATACCTCCTTCAGTCCGTGTGGGCTTTGGCTTATATACAACTACCAGAAAAAAGGGACTGAAGGCCAGGAGACTTCTTCAGGTGTTGGGGGTGCAGGGTGGGGTGGGGGGACATAGAAGACAAAAGATATCCAGCTTGTCACTTTTATTACGATCAGTGAATGTAAATATAATAATTTATACTTACATAATTACATATCAATAAAAGTTTATAATAAAAATAAGAAAGTGCCACTTATTTGGGATATCAGTTTTGATAATTCAGTTGTGACTTTACTCCTAAAATGATAGACATTAATTTTAGAAGATTTAAAATCACTTTTAATTCTTATAATAAACCTAAAGAGACTTGAATTATCGCATGGAAATTTCAACTTCCCAACCAAGCCTTATTACGATTCTTTTTCTCTCTTCTACTTCTTTCCTTTCTCCTTAACATAGTTTTAAATGTGCATACATTTCATTTTAAATTAGCTTGCTCTTGTTTTTCCTGCATCTTCACACAGATGAATTAAAAATTTAATTAAAAACACCGTGTAACTAAAACAGCACATTCCACAGAAACACACCATTCTGTTGTGCACATATCTTTGTAGGGGAAATTGGAAATTGACAAATACATTCACTTAAATTTTGCCTTGTACTGAAAACTGAGGAAAAATTTAAATTGGCTCTTTGTGCCTCTTTATTAGTAAATGAAACCATTTGAAGTAAAGTTGGATATTATAGTCATTTCACAAGTGCTTTTTGCTCATGGTAAGAGGGTCCTACAGCATTATGTCTCTGTATCTGTGAGTTTCTGCACCTGGCTAGTATTTTCATTGCTGCCTGATGTTTATTTGCCGCAAATCCCTCTCAGAACTGTGTGCACTGGTTATGATGGTAATGAGGAAGATAAGTCAAACCGAAGCTGAACTCATAAAAGCTCTAGGGCTCTAGAGAGATGGCGTAAGGTAACCTTCTTTCAACATGTGTAGGCTTAATCACAGGGGCTGGAGCACCGTGGTCAGACTGCAGCATAATGTCAAACAGTCAATTTAGAACCAACAGCCTGCGCAGGACCTAAACTGGCTTTAGGATTCCTTAAAATACCACCTTACTCTTCAGCTTTTCTTTCCCAGTCCTCTTGCCCTACCATTAGGGGGAGATGGTTCACAAAAGCTAGACCCAGTATTCAATTTTGCTTGCTCTTCTGTCTCAAATTAACTTCTGTATAATTATTGGCTTGTTTCTGTTGTCTTTCACAAGTCTTTATTCAGTAGTAGTAGTAAATGACAGAGATAGTTCAGTGTCTTAAATAACACCTGTCAATACCACATGACTCCTCCTGAAGGGTGCCTCCCTAGACCCTCCTGAGGTTGATCACTGATCTTGTGGCCACATTCTAACTGTGAACACAGACTAATTGGCAGCTGGGACAGGGGTTCCAACTAAGTAGTCCCAGCCTCAGCTGAGTCCTCAGTGGCAGCTTTGTTTTGTAAGGCCACCTCTCACAAGACTCAATTGGCAGATTTTTTTTTTCCTAACAAATGTTCATCCCAGATGCTGCTAGTATTTAAAAAGGATGTGCCAAGATTTAGATAGAAATATAAAATCATTTGATATTTTGAAACCTAGAAGTCTAAAATAATCTCTAGAAAGAACAGTAGATCTCCATATGGGAAAGTGCCCTGTTCTTGGTAAAAATAAATAGATTTCCAATATTTCTATGTCAGAAAGAACAGGAGCTATGTGTGGAACATTTATTTTTACTTATCATGGTCAAACAATTGTGAACATTGATGCTAACGCTCCGTATGTGATACGTGCATCTTCATTATTTCCCACTCAGGGATTTTATTGAAGTCTAATTAGCAATTTCTTATGTGTGAAATTTTGTAAAACATTGGCTACTCCAGGAATCTTGAGGCTCTAAACCAGCAATGAAAACCAGCTTCTTTTCCCTACCAAGTAAACCCACTGGAGACTTAACGTCTGTTCCTCCTTTAGTGCTTTTTCTTCGTTTTAATTCCAAAGTAAGGCAATAAAGAAGTCTCACTTTCTTTTTATGTATAGTTGATTGCTTGATTTCCCTCCAAATAAAATTCCTGTATGGATGCCCCCAGCCCCTTTGTGTCTGTGTGGTTGGTGCTGCAATGAACAGAGGAATAAAGCTCAGGGAATTTAAATAAATGTTTTGGTCTTGTCACATTGTTAAGTCAGTATTTTGTGCATTGATATTTAGCATTTTAATAATAAATAATATCTCAAATTATTTAGCATGTGTTCAATCTAAAGAAAACGTTAATACATTCATGTGTCAAAGTCAGAAATAGCAAACAGCCAGATGGCTAGGAACCAGATTAAAAAAAAAAAAAAGCCAATTCAAATATTATTTTCAAAAGAATTAAGCAGGTTTAAATTTTTCCAAATACTTTCCTGGTAGGCGGTAATTAAGAGAAACAAAGTGTACAGGCACACAGTTAACCGGCCTTTATTCTTCACTCGAGACTAGTTCTGATTGATCACTGTGCTGTTGTATGATTTGATTGTGCTGACAGTTACATGCCACTGTCCCATAATAACAATTTTTCTTCTTTGTTCAAATGAATTTCCTAATTACACGTGTGATGGGATGTTTTAATTCTTTTCCCTTTTCAAATCCACCTTCCTGTTGCAATGCATGATGGGCAGGCTCAATATTGTGCATGACACCCGCTACAAGTGTTGGTAGGTGCCAGCTTTGTTTCTTGATTATCTTAAACCTATGGTGCACCTCACAGCCCCTCAAAATCCACTGCTGAGTTTAACTTGATCTATTGGGCAAGTCCATTCCCTTTTACTAACACCTGTCAATTAAATGCCATTTTCTATTTAATTGACATGGACTCACATCAATGTTTTCTTTACACACGACAGTTTCCTTGAATCACCTTTGGTGGATTTTGATTGGACTATGAGTTCTGGTGTGTAAAAAAAAAAAAAAAAATCTATCTCATAAAAGTAATAAACTGTATATTTTTGTAATAGTAAATAATAAAAATAGACTTTTACTCAAACGGATAACTGAATATATGAAGTAAATACCTGTATTTTGACTTTTGACTTAGATTTTGAATGTCTGTTGAACACTATATAAAATTCTTGTTTTTGACTTAGCAAATTAAGCCTGTTTGTGTCAATTTTCTTGATTTGATGGTAACAAGCTTTTTTTCCCCTTTTTTTTCTCTTCCATCCCCCTCCCCTTCTCTCCTTGGAATGTTGTCCTGCTTTGCGCTGTGCATGTCACTCGCTGGTGATGATGTCCTGTCACATGGCTTCTTGCTCTGATAAATACCATGCCCCATGACCTCTCCGTGTTGCCATGGTTTCCATATCGCTACACTCTTCTGTATGTTTGCTTATATGATTTTCCCTCCGAAAGTTCCCATGGTGCACGGTGCTACGCCAGCCACTGTGTCCGCAGCAACAACATCTGCCACAAGTGTTCCCTTCGCTGCAACAGCCACAGCCAACCAGGTTTGCTAATTTACAGCTTTGTTTCTTAAAAACCAACTCGAATAGGGCTCCATCCCGCAGCCTTGGCGCACGCGGATCTCCCGCTGAGCTCGGTGGGTGCTGTGTGCGCAAGGGCTGTGGAGGGTGCTTTGAGAAGCATGGGGTTTCAGAGATACCTCTTGTTGGCCTACACATTCTCTCTACGATGAGCAGCAGAATGCTTTTATGCCATTTATAAGTGCTCCAAAGTTGTCGCAGCTCCGTTTCTGAAGCTACTAAAATGATATTTACACAAGCAATTCTCATTTGGTCTCAGCCGATTGTGCAGGCATTTTGACCAATCAAAAATGAAGACAGTTTTAAGATTTTGGGTTTTTTTTTTTTTTTTTTTTGAAAAACATTTGGTATATTCAGTCCTCAGTTCTTAACTAAATTCTTATAAAAAGGAAGGTCCTTAAATGTATTGCATATGCCACAAATGACCACTCTTGTAAATAGTTTGATATAAAATTATTATAATTTGATTTGTTTGACAAGCACATTGCATAGTCAAAATTAGTTAAGTTTAATTACAGCTTCTCTAAGCTTTGATTCTCTTATGTTAAGCAAAAAGAAAAAAAGCTAAGTGCTGTTATTTCTATAATTATCCTGCATAAATGCTAGCGATGTATGAAGGATAAAAGAAATCAAGTAGGGTAAATTGACAGACATTCTATGTTCCATACAAGTTTGTAGGGCAGCAGTTATGCAAGATACTTTTATGTGAAAGGAATCTATTTAAGAAATTTAAGTGTTATGATGTACAAGGGTGACTATTTAAAATAAAATTATTTAAAACATTTGAAATTCAAAACCTGCCACTGATTCCACCAGTGTTTCCTAAGCCCATTTATAAACATGTTCTAGAAAATACTGGTTGAGTTAAAGTCACGTTTATATAAAGTAAGTCTGGGCTTTGAATATTTAGAATGTTTCGGCTGAAAGGGTTCAGTGGCATTGGTACTATATGAAAACAGCTAAACCCAATTTCAGATAACCCACCGACTAAGGTTAAACGGTACCAAATGAGTCTCAAACGGACCAGTGTCAGGTGAGATTCCACATGTGACCCCTTTGGAAGAGAGACCAATGAAGAGTCATCTGAACTTGTGGTTACTCCTCTGAGGAATGGCCACCCCTATTTCTACAGTACATCATATAAAATTGATGAACTTTCAGCTATTAGTATGGCTATTAAAAACTTTCAAAAGCATAATACCAAAATGGACTTATTTTAAAGTTTCAGACGAGCTTTAAGCATTTCTTGGCAAAGAATCATCAGTTTTTCAGAAGCTTGTCAAAATAGCCCTGGATTTACACTAACACATCAGACTCATTTACAAGAATGCTGGGTGGTGCAGATGTGGCATGTTAGTGAGCAGCATTTGGCTGAGATATCTTAATGGATTCAGTGCCATCCACTGTGGCCCAGATCTTTGATGCCGACCTCTCGCGTGTGTCCCACGCATGAGTGTAGAATTGCTGGTGTAAGCAGAACTATAGCAAAGCCAATTTCAACATGCCCTTGGCCACCTGGGTTGTAGGGGACACTTTACTTTTTGCATTGTGCTGTGACCATTTCATGCATAATCTTGGGTCTTCATACTATTTTACAACCAAACAAAAGAAAAGGGAATGGATATATATATACACACATATATTATATCTACATATACATACATATGTATATGCCTACAGTACATTAGCAATGCTGGGAATAGCTGATGCCACAAACTGCAGCCTGCATGCATGCAGAGGTTTCTAGCTGGCCCTTCATCTGCATCGATTGGTGTTGAAGGTCCTTGGTATGTTTCGACAGCCCCATCCTTGATGCTTCTACACTGTTGGGTGCAGCATCCTGTCCTGCAGCAGCAGGAAAAATGGTATGAGAAGCTTCATTATGCTTGGAGCACATTTTCGTGCCATTTGCCAGTGCCGTAAAATTGTGTAAAAATGTCAGCTAAGAAATGGAAATAAAATAGGGACCTATTAATACGCACTCCAGACTGTGGGTTGTAGTGTGGTGAATCAGCCTAGGATGTCTAAATCGAAACAACAAAAAAATGCCTTCACGTATGTGATTTCATTATTCTCCCATCCACCTTGCTGAAATGGGACGTGTCATTTTATAGATTAGAGAAATTAGTTGCTTAGAGTAATTAGTTGCTTTGCACGAGGTCACACGGCCAGGAGACGGATTGTGAGTGTCAGAACCCAAGCTCCCAGCCTCTGACAGCCTCAGTCTGTTGGGCTGCCTCTCCCAGGCTCGGAGCCTTGAATTTGGGTTTGGAGGAAAATCAAGTCGCAAATTCAAAGTTCTTGGCTTTGGGGACTATTAAAATAAGTAACCCCTATATTGGTTTCTTATTGTATTTCTCTGACGTTCTCTAGTTCTCTTGCCTGTTTAAAATACAGTAAGATGTGCAATCAAGATTCAAAGATGGCTCTAAGGCAAACCTGCGCTCCTAGTTCTTTTGACATACTCCTTTATAATTCTTACCTGGTATCGTTAATTTGGGGGGGGGGAGCTAAATGCCCTAATTCGAATGAAAATATTAGAAATTTGGTTGCACAAAAATAGGCAAGTCATCTCCTCTCTGATTTCTATATTATTACTCAATAACCGAAACCGCAGGGGTGCGTGTGTGTGTAGGCCAACAAAAAGGGCTTCTTTCAATTACTGCTCTGCATGAATTTTTGGTAGTTTTACTTCTCTTACTTCCTAAAAACTGGTAACATCTATAGAATAGTATTTAACACAAAAATTAAAAAACAAACTGAGTCGCTACTCTGGCATTGAAGTTGACATTAACGTACTGTTATGTTGACCAGATGAGGACTGTCACCTCGCAGCTGAATCTCACTGTTCTTTAAAAATTTAATAATAAGATGTCTTCATCTCTTGGTTGTTGGCTTGCTTGCATGGATCATTCATTAAATAATCTTTTATTTGCTAGATACCCATAATATCTGCCGAACATCTGACTAGCCACAAGTACGTTACCCAGATGTAGAATTGTCACCACTGAACAGTAAGTGCATTATCTGATGTACAGTCACGTATTCGTGGTGGGTTTTTAAGATGGAAGTTTTGTAGTGCACTTAAAATTGTATAAAACTTAAGAGAAAATATGAATATAGAGCTCCTATTTTTATCTTAGGTAGTTTATGAAGAATTTTATCATACAAATTTATAATCAAAATGTCTATCACTTAAACATACAAAATACTGAAGGATAATCATTTTCTTATTTCGTATAAGAAGTAAGCACAAGCATGAAAGACAAAAAATGTGTCTTAAAAGTAATTAGAAGGTGTGGGCTAACTGGGGCGAACTTTTCTTTAGAAGCCCAAAGAGCAGGTATCTGGGACGGCTTGGTCCCATAGTTCTGTTGTGGCTATTGACTCTGCCCCACTGGAGCAGGGAACTTGGATGTGGCCATGTTCCAAGACAAGTTGGATTTTTTTTTTTTTACAGGCTAGATAGTAGGCTGGATTTGGCCCACAGCAGAGATAGTCATTAATTATGTTTTTCCTATTACCTGGCTAAATCCTAGATGAGAATAGGTACCCACCTCATCCACATGTCACTGTACACAGGGCCATTAGAGTGGGAGTGAGTCTGACTTCACACAGCCCCATGTGCACATGCCCACATATGACGCCCACACCAGTGAACAGCCAGAGCCTTCACAGTTGCAGCCTTGGGGGATCGTGTCGTTCTGAGCATGTGGCTATTGCTCGAAAATGGTCTGAAAGTCTTGTGTTTTGCCTTCAGAAACATTCTGTTACATACTTGCCAAGGCAACTGGTGTTCATTCTTAGAGGATATTTTATTTAGCGTGTG